TAATATTTGTTGTGTTAGGAGTGGCCGGCATGCTAGACGGTGTAGATAAAAACATGAAGAAATGATGTGTTAGTCGTCGAGCCAGAAAGCTCTGACACAACTGAACAGTTGTATTAGGATAACACAAAGCGCTCCCCATCATCAGATACAACCACATTCACTGCGGGGTTAAAATCGGGGAATTGTGTATTACTTCTAAATCAACAGAAATCACAACAGTAATGACTTTCGGATCAATGCGATAACAAACCACATTGCATAACTAAAATAGACGTGAGTTCGTGTGTATACTTATTTGACATGTACTTATGAGGCGGCGGCACGAAGTTTTGCATGGGGAGAGATTTGCTCATCAACCAAAATTTTCAAATCTAGACACTCTGAAACTCTATTTCCTGCATTTTGAAGGTCAAATTTTACTGTCATAAAGGGTTTCAGCTTGATTTTGGAGAAACGACGCGCCTTAAACATTGTTTTCGACCCCATTTCCTTACTTTCCCCTCCCCGTGCCGCGGCCACTGACTCGTTATTTATCTTCTCGTCTCGGAATGGTTGACGGAAACATTACCATGACCAAGTTTTCCCAAGTCTTTCGCCGTAAGCGGCTCACCAGGCGCCCGATCTAAAGTTACAGCAAGGCAGTAGCAAGTGACGGGAACCAAATCTGTATGTTATGGTGTTGTTAAACAAAATCCGGACAAAATGTATTGTCACCAAACTAATTTTCACACAAAACAATTATACAATATATTATATTTAAAATGTTGTGTTATTTTCCATCAGTTACTGTGGTAAATAGAATTTGCTGTTTCTCTAGTTTGATTACATATGATGAAATGTAGTATAAAATTAGTAATTAAGAATGTTACAAATTTCTTGAGCCTTCAAAAGATATTTTATCATTACACTCGTAGGAAAATCGTTCAAATAATTAAATGATTTTACTTGATTTTAAACAAAAAATTAGATAAATTTTATTTGCCAGTCACGCGTTTATAATAATGTTGAATTCTTTTTTTTTTATTTTAGGAGAAGAAGAATTGTTTGAAGGAGATATCTTATTGAACAAAGAACAACAGCAAAGACGTGACCTTGGACTGCCAATAATGCCAGAGTAACTAAACCATTACTTCATATTATGGGACTCCCTTTATAATGTATCGATAATAACGTATTAGTGGGTGCTTTTAAGTATAAAATATCCGATGATGTTTCAAAACTGACAAAGCCTCGGCACCTCGCAATAATCTTTTATTAACGTTTTTGTTATTTTTCAGTAAACGAGGAGCAACTATATATGAATCTGCATACTGGCCTAATAACACGTTGTACTACTTTTTTGACGATGTTGACCCCTTAAGTAAGTGATTTGTCAACCTAGAACTATAAGAGTATGCTTTGTCTATGGTGCATGCTTTTGAGGTTTATGCAATGTTTATGCATATTTGCACATTTCATGGATGAATAAATTCAAGATAGAAGTTCAACCTTAAAGCGGGAGGGTCGTCACCTGCGCACGTGCGGGGATTGAGTCCCAAGCGACGATAACAACACACGCTAAAAACGCAAAGGCTCATGGGTACACGCTTGTTTGTAAACAATGACAGGCTATGGCCATCTGACGCTTGCGCAGGTGACGACTCCCCCGCTTTAAAATAAGTGCATTAAACAAATATAACCGCATGTGGGAAGCTTTTAATATGTCATCGGTTTGTAAATCATTTTACATTAATATAATTTATTCTTAAACATCATAGGCGATGCTGATAAAACCGTTGTACGAGGCGCTCTGACGTCGCTAGAGAAGTTCACATGCGTGCGTTTTATTGAGAGTAACGACGTTGAAGACTACGTTAATGTCATCAAAGGAGATAGGTTAGTAATCTTATCAAAGCTTGTATGTTTTCATATTCTTTTGAGAAGTGTTTATTTCTTGGATATGTATTCATTATATATATATATATATATATAAATGTTTCAGTTAAACTCTCCGTATTGTTCATATTTTATGCAACTGTGTCGCAGCGTCTTGTATTATTCATATTACTCAACCCAACCGTGAGTCGTTGTGAAAAGCGTACGGAGTCTCTTCAATTTAAATTTAGGTTATGTGTCGAAATATATAAAAAATATAATAAAAATAATTTTGCATTAATGGTTTGTACATATAATGAGCAATAGTTTGCATCAATGGTAGATAATAATAATAATAATAATAATAATAATAATAATAATAATAATAATAGTGTATGCAAGGGAGTTTGGCACTATTCAGTGTGAATACACGTGTCAATATGACTTACGACGTCACAATGTCTTATATATTTTTAGTTGTAAATCTTGGGTCGGTAGACAGACTGGAATTCAAACACTGTATCTGGGACAAGGCTGCGTGTACACCGGAATTATCCAACATGAGTTCTTACATGCTCTGGGATTTTGGCACGAGCAGTCCAGATATGATCGCGATAATTACGTCGAAATAAATTGGGATAATATTATAGAAGGTAAGTTGGACAGGCAACTAATAAATATATAAATAACGAACACACGCAATTATGTCAATGGATTAATCCGTTAATTACAACACTACGAGGAATTCTTATACGCTTTCTCAAATTTCAGGGAAAGAGGGCAATTTCGAGAAAAAATTAGAAGAACACACAACCCACCAGGGCTTCGGTTATGACTACGGCTCAGTGATGCATTATGGCTTTTATTCTTTTGCCATTGATAACACTATTCCAACAATAATAGCGTTGCGGGAAACAGATGAGACTGTTGGACAGAGGGAATTTGCCAGCGATCTCGACATTGATGAATTGAACAGATTGTACGAATGTGACTGTGAGTATTTTCATGTAAATTTGATATATGTGGTTATATTTGTTATTCGTTAATATAAAAACGTTCCAGCTGTATTTTATTAATTCTAATATTGTACTGTGTTACTACAATATAATACATTATAGAAAAATACAGTACAATATGGTATAAAAACATATAAACTGTTACAAATTATCATTCCAATAACAGTGGCTTTTATCAATACCAGATCCCGTTGATGGACTGTGGTCACCATGGAGTCCTTGGACTCACTGTACCTCCTCTTGCGGTGGTGGTATACAGACTAGAACCAGAGCTTGTGATTCACCGCCTCCGTCAATCGAACCAGTCGGGCAACCTTGCGAACCTACTGG